AATGGCACGAATGAATTCTAGGTGAGCAGGAGGGATCTGAATACCTCAATTGTAACAACTTACCTTCTGAATGCTCGTGCACCAGGCATGACGAGTCGTCCTGAATCGCTTATCGCTGCGACTAAAAACTAGTGACTTCTCAAAGAATATCATGACTAAAACTTTGCAAAAATCTGAGCAAACCGACCTACGGCACCGGGACGTAAGCGAGGGTCGGGAGAACGTGGCGGCGGAGAAGGCGCTGCAAACGATACATCAATTAAAAGTAAATGTTTAGCCCCAAAGTAAGTTTTCATGAGCTTATTTCAGCACTTGTTCTTCATTCTTGTAAAGAGTACATTGACACGTACATTATCAGCACAAGTACTAACGATGTAGGCGTGATTTGTAACCTATCTAGTGAAGTTAAAAGAGAAAAAAAACTCAGAAAAAGGTTTTCTAAACCACTCAAAACCAGTTAGCTAATTTACAACAAAATAAATGATTAGAAGAAGATTAGGCTACCTTGAGGGCACGATCTACGACGGCAAGATGACCCATATGGCGCTCAAATATCAACCATGAGGAGCTAAGTGGCGCGCCCTGTGAAGAAGCAGTGGGAACTATTGTCGGAGACGCAATAAGTAAGACTCCCTTACCCTTCCATCCGTATTCCGCATTACTAACAACTCAGGACCTCCCAGGTTGGCTCTGCCAAGACTTAGTTCTCAGACCTCCTATGACGCGGCTGAATAGTTTACAAAGTTCTCAGATCTCCTATGACGTGGCTGAATAATTTACAACCCTTTTAAATTTTCCTGTAAGCTAAAGTTATGTTGGACGAAGAGTTTCCTGAATGTCTTTCGACTTCCCTTGGTTCGAAGAAAGCGACGATGCCGAAAAGTTAGTCGAATGAAAAGTGTTTAACAATCCTGGTTTCAAGCTGAATAACTTCGCACACTTATATGGAAGGAAACATGCCAAGATTCACAGAAAGTCGCTCATGGATACTTCTAGTATCATACGGGTCTGCCGGGCGGATGCTGGGGAATCTGTGGAAGGCTGGCTTCGGCGCGGCGCCAACCCGTTCTCCACCAACTGTTGTCGCTTACATCGCTTCAATAAGTGGCGGAGAACTGGCTGGCGCCGCACCAACCCCAGCCTCCCTGATACGCCCCAGCGTTCGCAACGAGCAAGACTGCAGTTGTCAGACTGCTTCAAGCTCGAACGCAGCAGTGAAGGAAAGAAAATTCAAGACTTGGCGTGACCGCATCAACATCTGCTCATTCCTCAGTGAATATAATTTTTCAAATGTTTTTCAAATGTCCAACGTCATTCAAACTCATCAAAATACACGAGCGTAACAATATTGAATTAAAAAAGTGTCTCTGGAAATAAACGTACGTGGTGTGGGCGTGTGTGGGATGCGATCCCTCTCAGAGAAAACGTAAGATGCCGGGCAAACCGGAGCTTCTGGTGCAAAGCCGGCAAATAAGTGGTTGCCAAGCACGGGCGTAGAAATAACGCCCGGAGGTGGAAGTTGACAAACTTGTGGACCAGCTGGAGTTAGGACCTGGCCAGAATCAGCTATCAAATTCATGAATAACAAAAAATAACATACAAGCAAACCAGATGAAACTGTACCTGAAACATTGGCGGTGGTGCCGAAAGGGAGTTGACGTCGTTCAGGACCTGTTGGACTGCTGGAGCTTGTTGATCGTGATTAAGGCTATTGACCGTTACATCCTGCTGTTCTTGCGACGGCCCGCTCTCTCCTGAAAATACGTACTTTCGAGGTGAAACCAGTCGATCTCATTTACGTACAACAGGATTTCAACCAGCTTTGTAAAAGCTGTTTTTGGCGCTGTCAGGGACAACAACATTTTGTTAGTTGTGGTTTTTTCTTTTTAGTTTCTATTATATAACAGGTTCTACTCTGGTGAGACTCATAAAGAAGTTAGCCTGTACAAACCACGCTAAGAAACATGCGGTGCTCCCACCAAGTCAAAATGTGGCTTAATTTGCTTGAGAGATGAAGTGAAGTGGAGCCAAAATGCTTCTACTGTCAAGGAACAAACTGTAGTGATCTGTTTCATTCAGCGATACGCAAAAAGTCATGATAAGTGCCCACTTTTTATACGCGAAGGGCCAGGGACAATCGGAAAACCTGTTGGGAGGAGTCAATCGAACACCATACAGCGCGGAATGCGTTTTTTGTGCGATATTTCCATACGAAACAACTGTCATTTTGTCTAGTGCTGGGCAAAAAGATGACTTATAGACTGTGTAGTTGGCCCAAAATGGCAATCTCCCCAAAAAATGCACAGCGCCAGTACGTTTAAAGAGAGTAAAAAGAGACGCCCTCTCTGTCTCCGGGATATGGAGTGCACGAAATATGGATAGTCATCTAAGCTTCGATTAACACTGCGCGCACACTCTCGAAACAACAATAAAAATCCAAAATCCTTTCTTGAAAATTCATACCTTTCTTGGAAGGCCAAGGAACCCATTCATCGAACTTGACCTCAGGTTCAGGCTAAAGCAAAAGAACAGAGGCTACTGACATGAGTTTTTAAATTTATAAGAGAGGCAAAAAAACGTACTTCATCGTTAGAACCGTCCAAATTGTTTAGTTTCTTCTGAAACAATATATTTTCGTGCAGCTGATTTCTCTAGTCTATTGATGTTCAAGAGCAGATTCTCTACTCTACATTACAGAGGCCATCAACTAACCAATTTTTCTAGCAAGGAACCTTGATAATTGCCTTGTGGTTTATTCTGTTGAAGGCTCTGATGTCTTCTTAGGAGATGCGAAAGTTTCTAAAAAACGTTTCATTATCGAAATTTCACGCTGTCTCTACAAACCGGTAGAGCTTTATCACAAAGCTTGTGCAGACGTCTTCGCTGCAGACGCCGGGACGTGCCAGGGGAATGCTCTGTTTGACGCACTGCCAGATTTTCCACCAATTGTGGAAGCGGGCAAACAACAGCAATTTTTCAACGGGTTGGCGCTGCGCCAAACTCCGCCCATATAAAACGCCCCGGCATCTGCAGCAAAAAAAAACAACTAAGCCGCGAAAAAAATCTTGGAACAAGCCGAAGTCGCGCGCTTTCTGATAGTTTCGTCTACAATTTTTCAATTGTACATGAAAACATTGTTTGCTTGAATGAAGTACGCCTACGGATAGAGGAGTTATTCTGAAAAATAGGACTGGTTGACTGAATCCGTTGCCGAGACAGATTTTTGAAGATTTCTGCGATGGGCACGCCACTGCCACTTTGATATTGGATCCCTTTCGAAAGTTTCTAATGTATTGGGAAGAAAATAGGTTTCTTTAGAGTTTAAAAGGAAAGTAAGGAAGCAAACAATCAGACAGGCATTTTCCTTCTTCCATTGGGCGAAGTGGGACTGATACATGACAACTCATGTCACGCCATGTGTCGCCGAAGATAGCACCGTGACGGTTGGCGGAACGGTGGCAAGCAATACTGCAAAAAGCCTGAAGATGGAAGCTTTAACTTCTACGAACCATTTTTAAAACATTGCGGACCGCCGTACTGCGCGCAATTCCGATTCATTTCATCCTTTTTCATCAGTTTCGTTACAATTTCCTACCTCTTTACAAACGCTTATGAAAAACAGAACCTTTCGTCACCAAGAACGTGTTTTGGCAACATTAGAACATGAAAAACAAGTCAAACTAATCGGATAAAACCGCGCAGAGACGAATTCGTGACACACCATGTGTGTCACGCGGCCCTGAACGTGTTAGGGATGCTGCACGCATTTAACTTCTATGGAGTCGTAATGATTTTTGAATGTGAATTGACCTATGCATTGCCGGAGAGGGGAGGAGGGAAGGCTGTCAGCGAACAGTCGACGTTTTTTCTTTTGAAACGAAGCTAATACTAAGAAGCTTTTCCCGCAGGCATGGAAAGCTCGGTTGGCTCAGACGGGAGCCGGTTCCGGGCCACTACACCTCCGCTTGACCAAAATTCTAATATATTGTGTTACAATATTATATTCTTAGCTTCTGACCCTAATACTGGTGTATAAGAAGAGAATAGATAGCTTAGAACAGATATGAATGTCTTTCGAAAACTGTTCCAAGTTTTTTTTCGCGGGTGTATGTACATTGGGATGTAAACGGATGAGCGAAGACTCGTAATAATTCTGGTGTGCCTCTCCATCTGATATAGGGTAAAGGAAGGCAAATGTGTAGGGCACAACGGTTATGATTCTCCGCCTATCCAATCATCGCAGAGCAAGTGAAATGTCCTACCTTTACTACTTTTCCTGCTGCAATCTGCAGATGTGGTCGGAGGAAGTGAAGCAGAAGGCTTCTCTATAGGTGCGGCTGAAGAAAGCGAAGACGGAGGCTCTTTTATGGGCGTAGTCGCAGGAAGCGAAGTGGGAGGACGCTCCTCTATGGGATGCTGTGAAGAAGAGGCAGATGGCACGGAGACGTTAGGGTCCATGGTTGACCTAAATCGTGGCAGTATTTCTACATTCACATAATTGCCAATATCTGCCGAACCCATGGTCCGACACGATTTGTGATTTTTTTTTATTTCTTAGAAGCGAGTGTTTGAGCAAAACGTGCTGCAAAACGACACCCAAACACTCAAGGAAGTTTATTTTCAGTACTGGTTGCAAGTTTAGACCCGAAAAACGTCGGGCGAGAGGTTGAGAGCATGCAGCGTATTATAGAACAGGATGTGCTGATTTATATTGTTCTAATGTGAATGTAGTTCAACTGTAGAAGTTCCAAAAATGTTAGAATAAAAAGCGCGTTTTTCGAGTCGAAATAATTATTTTGAACCTATCAACCGCAAAAATAGAGAAAGAGTCAATGGGTATGAACAGTCTTGAGTGAGTAGTCCAGCCCCCACGAATAGACTGTTAAGAAGTTGTTGTTCAGTTCAAACGATGGCAACTCACTTTTTTGACTCCATCTTTTTCCTCTTCTCTTCCTCGACCTTCTCGCGTACTTTTTTCTTAACCAACTCACGATCATTATCTGATAACAAAGGATTTTGTAGAAATCGTGCCACTGCATCGCGCAAGACTTCTAAAAAAATAATGGTTCATGGGTTAGGTAAAAAAATAACGGTTCTTAATTTGAAGGAGAGAAAAGCAGAAGCTAACTTGGATTCGAAGTTTCTTTGATAAACACCAGAAGATCCGGAAGCGAGTCGATTTCCGTGCTGGCTTTAACATTCATTTTCTTCAATGTCTTTGGTGGAGAACTGGAAAACTGAGTGTAGCACACCAACAAACATGTGAGAAATCTTTTCCTACTAGTTTTCTTTTTTGAGCGAATACACTTTGTGGTAGGAAAGATGGCACAATTGTGTCAGGGCTTCTGTCAACCGAATATTCCCTCGCCGGTCCATAAGTATATTCATCATCGCACTTTCGCACATTCGAAGGAAAGAAAACCATGAAGAGGGAAAAGAAATGGAAGGAAGAAAACAAGGGAGGAAGGAGGTTCGTGGTTGAAAATTATCCGAAACCCAAAGACTAGCCTGATTGTCTGCGCCATTCAGCAGAAATAGTGATCCCTTCCCCAACAGTCAACGGTCTCAGGATATCTGTCCACTGCAAAGCCTTCCTGCTCCTTGCCTTCTTCTTCCCCTTCCTTTCCTCTCCCTCATAACTACACCTTATTTCCTTCCCCTTCGAATTTTCAATGTTCCTTCCCCTCTGTCAAAATATTGTATGAGAAAATACCTCTGGACCCCAGCAAAGAGAGAACATCAGTTGACTGAAGGCCCGTGGCTTAAGCTCAAACTTGAGAGTACCAGAAGGCCAGAGTGGGTGCGCCCTATATGTCCGGGAACTATAAAGAATCCCTGACTGCGGGGATCAGGAATCTGACACACACCTCACAAGTGTGCAAAACCTATATCCCTAAGGACGAGCCGTCGCACGATATCCGACTACGTTCAGCGGGGCTCGTGATCCCTGACCCTCATCACCCCCCCCCGCCCCCCCTTTTTATACCCCATTTATATATCTGCCATTTGAACCGCGATCAGGTGCAATGCATTGACGTCCGATAGGAAATAGGAAAAGAAGTAGCACTTTCTCTACTTCTTTTCCTATTTCCTATCGAATTAGACGTCAAAGTTCGTGTGAAGACCTACATATTTTCGTACGTAAGAAGATCTTGCTTTGCTGAATACTTTTACAGAACTGACGGATCTACATGAGACGTTGCAATGGTGAATGAAATCAGCAAATGTCCCACACGAGGCAGCAATGCGCTTCGCTGGTCATACAGAGCGCTTTGGAGAATCGAAGAGCCACGATAAGGAACTGGGGTTAGTCTCGCCATGATGCGGAAATGCGGAGAAGTGCTTCTCAAGCATTGTCACTAAGCGTTTAATCGACCAACTTTTGGCAGCAGTGCTTATTTCAGAGCCTTTAGGGAGATGTCGCTCTCAGTCGGCACCCCCTGAGATGTACTCCAGCATCACCGCGGTAAGAGTAACAAGAGAGTAAGGTACTGTATCGTGAAAATTTCTTCAGTATTGACTCACAGCTGTTGTCCAAGCCCCCTCACAGCGACCACGACCCCCCTCCTCCATAAGGCTCTTCCAACGAAGCTGTGCCCTTGCGAAAGAGGACCTGCAAATGGCGCTACGAAATTCCCACCAAGATTTCACTGATTCAGCTTGGCAATGCTGCACTCTGTCAAGTCAACTAGCTAGGTAATACTCTGCTAGCTACCTTGCTATGCCGGCCCTCGGATGTCCTAAACTACTTTAGTGAGTGTAGTTTTCGTCGATTCCCAAGATCAAAACATATCAAGTCCTTCGGGCTGATTCCCCGATTCCCCATTTGGGAGAAGTCATCGATATCGACACGTATTTCATCCTAATCAAAATCTCCAAATAACCTACAAAGTGGTGTGAGAAGGCGGCCTTGCGTTATTGATAAGCTTGCTTTCCTTGCTACACTGAGGTAAGGCGGGCGTGGCTGCGTGCTCCATCTGGTTATGGCGTCGGATACGTCTTTTGTGGGATACTTCTGTTTGAAACAAATGTCTTTGTCTTGCACTGGATAATGCATAATCACAGCGCCCCAAAGCTGCAGTATCCCCATAACAAAGTAGCCGTCGCCACGTTGGAGTAAAGAACGCAGCCACGCCCTCCACATTTTCGGGATACGGAGGACATTTTTGTTTTGCTTGGTTTTTCGAATTAGCGATATCAGACGCTCCCGGAGATATGGTGAAGGCCAGAATGTTATAGCCATTTATAAAAGTGGGTTCATATGAACCTCCTGTTTAGTTTAGTATCATCAAAAACTCACGCTGAAGAGGTCGAACCATCATTTCCGGACTGCGAACGTTGCGATCTCTTAAGGGCAGCTAATATACCAGACAATTTTTCAGCAAGCGAGTGCTTTGACTGATCCATTACCTGCAAGCATCAAATTATTAG